CCCTTGATGATTCGCATATCCTTTGGACCCCGTGGGTACGCTTATTTGCGACAGATGACTAAGGCCCTAAACTCCTTAAAGGGGGGTATATAGGGGATTATATAGGGGACTACTATAGGGGTTATTAAGGGGGATACTAGGAGTTAGACAATGGCTCATATGTCATGGTCCTGGCAAGGTGTACGGCGCAGAGTGGAGTTTCGGCTTCTCCGATGAGGGTGGAAGCGGAGTTTTCAGCTGCTCTCCCGACCTGCTTATTAACCCCAAGATAACCTCAATATTACCCCTATATAGTATAGTAGTTTCCATTTTCTTTTCCATTTTCTTTTCCATTATCCCTATATAACCCCAATATATACCCTATAATCCCTATATAACCCCATTGTAGCAGTTTCCATTTTCTTTTCCATTATCCCTATATGCCCCTATATACCCCTATATAGCCCCTATATAAACCCTATATAAACCCGATATAATCCCTATAATTCCTATAGTTTCCATTTTCTTTTCCATTATCCCTATATATACCCAATATATAACCCCAATCTACCCCAATATACTATGTAGTAGTTTCCATTTGTAAAAAGTCGGGTGGGCTGGAAAGTTGATTAGTTAGGGACGTTGAGTCTGATGAGAGCAGGCCTCCAGGTAGCATTGCATAGCCTTAGGAGCATACGAAGGCATCAAGGAATGTCTAGTCAGAGACAGGTGCAGTTTTCGGATTCTTGGAAAAATTTGTGCCGTGGAAAATGCCTTGGCCTTGCAGGCCTCTTTCATGTGCAGTGTTTTGTGAAACCTATCTGTGGTAAGACCGCCCAGATCCTGTGCTTCGTAGATCTCGAAGTCCAGGATCTGTATCACTTGTGCATAGTCATGTGTTGCAACATCGAAGTGTGCAACTCCTTCACACGTTGCAAGTTTTCCCGGAATAGCGTCCAGCTGCATTTGGGTGGACACCCTATCTGACAACCAGCAATTACGTGATCCTACCCCTCAGTCCTGGACCCAAGGTTGGAAGCATGGGCCCCTCATATGCCCTAACTCTGTCCGGGGGAGATACTCGGGATATGTAGAGACCTCAGGATTTAGGGCCCATGCTATGGAGCTGATGCTTCTAACCTAAGACCGCGAAGCCGTTGAGTTGGAGGCTAACCAAGCTCTGACCCGTTTTCAATTCCCAGGCTATCACACAGTCCCTAGCATGGAGCTGCACGACCCCTTCTCCCTTGCCATCCTCACTTACTTGTTGGACACTGAAACGTGCTCCATGTTTGTGGAGAGAGCCGTAAGCCCCAAACCTTAGACCGTAAACCTTGTATCCGATTCTCTATGAACAGCAAGCCCCATGTGTTTCCCGGAGCCAGGCGACCCAGGCGAGTGCGGCGAGCACGCCTACCGGGAAGCACCTCTGCAGACAGATAATGATGTACTCCTTTTTGGAGGTCCCTAGAGTAAGGATTTCAGTCTTTTCTGGTCCCATCATTGTAATTCCTATGTCCACTGGGAGGGGAAGGTGTGGACCGAAAGGATGTTTTCCAAAAGTTTCAAACTTACTTGTGGTTAGGGAAGAATCCTTATAATCCCTATATACGATATTCCCTTAGTCCCTATTAGTCCCTGGTAAGCAAAGGTCCTGGTACTTCTGAGCAATTGTCAAGCCTTCAGAAAGATGAAAAACAAACTGAGGAAAGTCCCAGGTTTGGGAAATGTTCAACGCTTCCTAGGGTCAATGAGGCTTTGGATTGGCCCAGGGTATTTTGAGGCGAAGCCTGCTGGGGGTGATATATGGAGATACTGAACTCAGTCGCCGGGACAGGCAGACTCTGGACCATGATGAAACGCAACATAACAAATACTATTATCATTAATACTATTTCTAATATCAATCTTAATGTAACGGCTATTATAACGATTATTACTACAATTATTACTATCATTACTATTACTATGAGTACTATTATTAGTATGACTAGTCCGTGTTGTTGCACCTGGTTCTCAGCATGGGAAGAACGTTCACATCTAAGCTTCCTTGTCGGATGCCCGCTCCCCCAGACAATGGGCTATATAGGGTTTCTTTAGAAGATAGTCCCCCTTAAGTAGATAGAATATGGCTTTGGGCATATATTTTATAAGATCCCCATATCCCATATTCTGTCTACTTAGGGGGGACTCTAACCCTAAACCCTTAACCCTAAATAGTAGTTTCCATTTTGTTTTCCATTATCCCTATATTACCCCATATTCTATCTACTTAAGGGGGACTATAGCTTGGTGGTGTGTCTGCTCACTGATGAGCAGGCTGTAGCTATGGGCGTAACCTGCCTGCGAGAGGAGGACTCCGGATAGGGCTGGGCAGTGGACGTGGCAGCAATCTGATGCATGTTTTCCTATGAAGGGGCCGAACCTCCAAGTTTCAGCAGGAAGAACCTCGCCAACAAACAGAGCCTAGATGGTTCCGCACTTAAGCGTGCTCTTGCTTCGCGCTTGCAGCTTGCAGCCAGGATGTCATGATTTTGCTGAGCGCTTTGGCGCAGGATTGGCAAGGCGTGAGTGAATACCTACAAGCTGAGCTCAGGGACTTAAGGTCCACTTCAGGTAGATCGAAGAGTGAAAGTTGGAGCCGTATCAGGTTCCATGTACGCCCCGAGTCATGCTGGTGTAGTCCAGGCCAAGACTACGACATGCTCCATCGGAATTGTTGCCACTTCAGCGACGCGCTCTGCAGGACGCGGGCTTCTGCAGGGACTGGATTAATTTTTCTTGGTTACGAAGAAGGGCCCCCTAATTTACGGAAACCCTCATCTTTACGCGTACACCCCTGCATAAACCCAGCTTCCATTTCATTTTCTGTTCCATTGATTCCACATCAGTTTAATTCTACGTACCCCGCGTTACTCAGCAGTTTGTGCGAGGTCACTTGATTCGCCGTCGACATCTAGGGTTGTGGTCTTTAGATGCGTTAGTCTCATAGATTTGTAGTGTGCTGGCGTCCTTCTTGAGTCGGCAAAGAGTTTGCCGTAATTACCGCAAACAGGATCGCCATGTGTGGCGTCTATGCGGATGATTGGAGTATATTGGAGTGGACAAGAGATCAGAATTGATCCGAATAACATGCACTAGGGCCATGAGAGGATCCTGGGACATAACATAAACATACATTTCTTGCGCATTGAGACTCCAGTCGTTGTTTGTGTCGGGCGCAGTAGGCTTGAAGGCTTGGTTTGGGCGTTATGGGAGGGAGGTTTTGTCACAGTGGAAGTGGGCAACTATGGGCAACTTGTCAATTTCAAAAGTTTATTTGTTAAATGATGCAAAAGATGTGGAGAGTAACGTGAAGTGGGCAGTTTGGTTCTGAGTCACGGCTTGAATCCGAAATTTGACACGTCCACACCCTGGGGAAATCACCTGAACAGAGCAATCAAATAAGGTTGGAAGTATGGGCCCTAATATGGCCCCTAGCCCTTCTAAGGGGAATTCTAGGGACCCTAAAGGGTACACATAGGGTATGTAGTAGGTATATAAGGATCCCGGGTTCAGGGCCCATACTAGGGGCCCATGGTTTTAACTGTTTAAAACAATGGGTGCCTGGGGCCTCAGAGTCCCAACCTTTCTAAAATCCTCAGCTTGGAGGGCATTATAGCTCTAGTGACTTGGCTGTAAATTACGAATCATCTGAATCCCAGCCTTAATCCATCTCAACCTGTATTTAGAGAAGCTTGAGCCCGAAACTTCGCAGGTTGATGAACAAAAACATATTTTCCAAGGGTAGACCAGGCGCCTGGTCGGACTGCAAACCCATAAATTACATATGGATTTGACCGGAAATTCGGGGTTTTCTTGCGGGTATTACGGGGCTTTTACAGGTTGGGAACAACCACTTTGCCGGACGCAGGAAACCTGGTTATTCGGGGCCATGCTTCCGAAGACCGGGCTTTCAAATTGCAACCTACAAATTTTCAGGTTCGAGCGGGTCCAGGTAGTGTGAAAGCTGCAAGTCTAAGATTCATGGTCTCCAACATCCTAATTTGGAAAACACCGTCGGACGTAAACTTCAAACCGACCACAGGAAAGCCTGGCATAAACCCCGACGTATTCCCAGTTTCCATTACATGGCTTGATTCTCGACAATGGAGTAGTGAATCTGGGACACATCTCACAGGCGCTTGGGTGTTGGTCCGATACCTGGCTGGATCACCAATCTGCCGGGGACTGAGGGGCTTTAGAAATTGCCTTAAACACCCCAACCGTAAGAGATTCACATCTAGCAGCTCGGGACTTGTTGGGAGGAGTGTAGAGCTTGGGGGTTGAGAGCTCGCAAGTGCTGTGGTCTAGAATCTTTTATGTTTTTTTAAGTGGGAGCGTCTTCGGCAGGGTTGGGCTAAGGATCTTCGGATCTCTTGGAGTTTGGGGCCTGCGTGGATGTTGCTACGAAGAAGGGAGCCTTCAACATTTATAGTCTATAGTGTCGATGGAAGTCAATATGCTGCATTCTCTCCCAGTCCATGTATAATTTGTATAATGCCATGTGAGCTAACCTCTCAGTACCAGCCTGCGAATAATCAGGTCTCTAGATAAGGTGGACATCTCCCAACCTGGTGGCAGTCCGCTAGCAGCTGTTTTCATCTAGGAGTGTCTAGATGCTGACGCTTGGAAACCGGTTCCGTGTTTCCACGGGCAAGATGGGGGTTTGGGCTTCGAACTTCCGGGGTGTTTTGGGTTTAGAGGTCTAGGCTCGGCTAACAAAACCCCCCATGCCCAACCAAAAGCAAGCCCCTGCTGTGAGGGCTGGCGCTGGTGCCCAGGTGGCATCTCGGCTGAAATGGGATGTCTTCAAGTCTGGATTCCATGGATCTCTCATCGTGCATTATTGCGCCAGTTTTTGTTTAACTTGGATTGTTGGCAAGGGCCGTGTGTAATGAGCAGTCCCAAGATTTGTGCTTGTATGTTGGAGCCTTGGCACAGATTTCTCTCTCTTCTTGCTGTGTATGTTTGCGGCCCAGGAGACCGGGCCGGGCACCCAGCTTGGCCGTCAACAACACTGGAATTGAATAGATTTTCAGCCTTCAGCCGCAGACCAGATAGTTCAAGCTTTTTGGGCGGCGCCACAGGTGACAGAGTATTGAGGCGTTTGGGAAGGGGCAGGGGGTTCGCTGCATGTGGGATTCAGGGGGCTGGCGGCTTATGTTTCAGGATTTGGGAGGCAAGAGAAGCTGAGATCTTCTGTTTTGAGGTGCAGGTCGCCACTAGCTTGTGGACTCGAAATCTAGCAGATCGATCTGGGAAAAGTAGAGGACATACGCCCATTCCTCTTACTCGGAGAGCACTGCGCAGACAGCTGGGGCTTGTGTTTTGTACCTACCTCCGGTTCTCTGAAACATGGCCGCTATCCTGCTGGGTCATCCCGAAGAGAGCAAGATGCGTCCGGAACACCCAACAGGCAACCAGGACTTTCCTAATCCCACCTCCAGATGGGTAGGCCGGCTCCTTCATTGACCTCCTTGGGGTTAGTACATAAGGGAATACATTATATGGAGAGGAGGACCTTACACTGTTCCCTACTAACCACTGGTAAGTTGATAAGCCTAGGCTGCGGCACGCCGTTTTGGGCGTGCGCTCGGCAGCCGTCATCGCGGCCGCCAAGGCAGGGGGTGGCTTTCTGGACGGTGTTTGGAAGTCTGTGTCTTTGGCGTTGTGGGTTGGGGGGTTTAGGCTCGGCTGGTGTGGTTTTGGGTGGGGTTTGTAGGATAGGTGGTTCGGGATTTGCGTGGAGCATTTTAGGTTTGGTTGTTTGGGTTTGGGTTGAGTTTTTTTATTGTCGGTGGTTTCGGGTTGGGGTTGGTGTGCCATCAGACGATAGGACCAGGGCATCCAGGTGTCAAGCACTTCACGTGAAAGGCCATGGAGATTGAGCAAGAGCTGGCAATCAAGCAGACAGTCACAGATGGAGTGCAGGGCCCCGGCATTCTGCAAGTTTCTGCTTTGGGGTTTCTTTTGCTTGTCTGCGTAAGTGCTGCAGAATTTCTCTGGGAGTTCATCTGCTGCGAGCGCTTCAAGCGTAATTCAGTACAGGAGGTTGTGCTGCTGATGAGGATGATGATGATGATGACAACACGGGCGAACCTGTTGTTGACTGTTCCCTGACGCTTGATGCACAGGGTCAAGGAGGAAGTGGCTGCTAGTTTGATTCACGACAAACTCATGCAGGCCGTAGTGGAAGCCCTAATCGCAAGATGGCTTCAATCATGCTTTTGCCCTCAGACATCTGCAGTGGCTTACACTTTGGGATGCTTTCTGAGTGTACTTGTCCGAAAGGAGCACGAAACTCGACCCTGGCACTTACCCCTGCCAGCCTCAATCCTGTCATGTCCCCCAAAGGCTCAACCCGCACGCTTGCTTTCCTGAGCAATCCAGATCCTACATCCTTCCCATGCGATCTTGAACCCTAAAATCCTCAACGCCGATCCTCCAATCCACTTCAGATCCCAGCTGCTGCTGAGGCCACCCATTTGATAGAGCTGGATCAGAGGTGGGCGAGTGAGGGAGCAGTGGCTTGAACATTTTCCTGCAAAAGGACCTGTGCAATCTTAGAACTTCCTGAAGATCTGGTCCCTCATGCACATTCATGCACAATTTTTCTTTGGACATTCATACGTGTGGCTGAAATGACGTAAATTGACTCTTTCTTTCTGTTTCCGGGCATGGGATCCGTCCGCACCCCACCTTGATGAGTCAACTTGGGGGTTTCCTTCATTGGGGGTGTTTAGGGAGATCAAGAGCCCTCCTGTTGCCCTCTCAGCCTCTCAACGGTAATTTCAAGAAACTCCCGCCTGAGTGACCTCTGGAGGTATGGCGTCAGCGAGTCGGCTTCGGAAATCGCCTGCAATGCAGGCCGGGAGGTTCAGGTTTAGGGCACATGGAGTTTTATCAGCATTGTTCGATCAAGTTTGTTGTTTAATTTGAATGCCGCGCTTTCTGCAGCAGAACCCTCATCTTTTCAAGTGCCCATGCGGTGGTCCACGGCCCCTGTGTGATTCCTGGCCTCAGCATGGGATGCCCCCAATTAGATATGGTTTGTGGCGCTCAGGCGACATGGTCCGGGCAGCTGCAGGGGCTGTCGAGCAGGCAGAAAGGTAGAGAGAGGGCTTCTGCAACTTTGATGTAATTTCGGGAGCACGCCCCAGTCACTTCTCTTTCAGGCTCTTTTCGTTGATGTGGGCTTTAGCATCTACTTTTCTCGCCTTCGTCATGTTTCCACCGCTTGCAGCAGGTGAATGACGTCACATCGACCGTGGTCCACAAGGCCTCAAGAGCTCTGATGTCGCTTGTAAGGAAAACACATGCATTCTCTCCACGTGTGTGTATAGGACGACTCCAACCTTGATGACTGGCTGCAGGCTGTTAGTCTCCCATGCAAAGCACCTTACAATCCCCCTATACTGTATACCCTGAAGGGTGCCCTATGATCAAAAATCTTTTGGCAGCTAGCTGCAGTCTCCATTCGCCCTGGTCATGTCAGTTCAGACCATAACATTCCAATTCGTCTTGTGCTACGGTTGAGCAGAATACGCTCTTTAGGGACCATGTCTGCAGGCACATGGGCGAATCTCCAGCTGTGCCAGCACTCAACCAAGCCCAAGATTCTTTATGAAAATCCTGTTAACGCCATGAGGCTCTGTACTGTTGAGCCCTGCAGCTTCGGGCTTGTCAAGTTGGATCTTGCAGTACAGTGCGCGGCCTGTGTGCTTTCAAGGTAGTCAACGAGACACCTATGTTGAGAAATGCCTTAGTACGTCCCTGCAAGAATCCCTTAGTATACCTCTTATAGCAGCTTTCTACAACCTTCACAAAGGGGGCAGCAAGCAGCCCACGTCCAGAATCCAACACCCAAAGCCCTTGTGCCCCGAATCCGAAGCCCCCAAATCTAATTACATCTCCTCACCTTGTTTCGAAACTGGGCTGCTGTGAAGGAACTGGAGTTGCCCATATTCTGGCAACTTAGCTTAAATTCCTCAACAGAATCCCAGTATAGGGTCCGCGAGCCCTAAACATCCCTAAGCACTAAACCCTTTGTAAATTCAAACCCTCAACCCCAAACCCTTGAACCCCAAACCCTTGAAAAACAAACCTCATTCGGATTTCTGAGCGTATCAGCAGTTGGAGAAAGGCTCGATACAAAAGATCCAAACCTTAAATCCTAAACTCTGAGACCAGGTCGCGGAGGCTGCCATCCACCGTTCGGCCGGTCTTGCCGGTGGTCTCAGAGCCCAATCAAAGCCCAATGTAGTGGGTTTAGGGTTTTAGGGTCGAGGGTTTGGGGTCTAGGGTGTAGGGGTTTTGAGGATTTAGGGTTTGGGGTTTAGGACCGTATTTAGGGTGATTAGGCTGATGGAGAGCTAAATCGATAAGAACCTGCACAGCAGAATGGAAGCTGGGCTTATACAGGGTGTTTTAGAGTTGGAGGGTCGGCGGGACTTTGTAAGTGGCTTAATGGGCATATCTGTGGTCATGACATCTGTCATGACGTGGACTATAGGGGCTATAAGTTATAAGTGTCTCACGAAGTTCTCTGACCCTAAAAGTAGGTGGTCCCACCCGCTACTGTAGGGTTTAGGGTTTGCAAGGGCATCTGGTTCTGATGCAAGAGCCCCTCAACATGCTCACATCAGTGGGGGCGGGGTAGCCCGAGTCCAATCCCCTTCCTTTGGCAGGATGTGAGCTATAGTCTAACTCCTCAAAGGTGGTCATATCGTGACTACATAGGGTTTCTGTAGCTAATGTAGGTTCAACTTTACCACCGTCTGGCAGAATCAGCCAAGCCTCCTTGCAGTCCAGGGCAAGGCGTTCATGATGGGTTTATCAAACATTCGTATGCGCGCTTGATAGAGTATATCAAAGCTTCGATATGAGCGCCAGTTTCCTGACCACCATGATGAAGGTGCTGGTATTTCTGTTTGGTCTCCATGCAGACCCTAAACCCTAAACCCTAAATAATAGTTTCCATTTTCTTTTCCATTATCCCAATATAACCCCCATATTCTAGCTACTGAAGGGGCAGGGGATCCATTCAGGAGACATGTGTGCCACCAGAGGTTCATGAGTCACAGAGGGCCAAAGGCTTTTGGAGGAGTGTATTGACTGGCAGCAGGGGCATCTCGCCAAATCATTTGTCCAACAAGGTACAGAATGATGGGCATGAGCATGTTGGTGGAATTCCCTTTCGTTATGTTATAGTTTATGAGTGTATGTATCGTTGTAGATGCGCAAATAGTCATGTGTGGCAGTTCGCACGGATGTTCTGCAGACAATTTCAGCAACTACATTGATGTTCGAACACTGTCATATACACCGTCCTCTGCTTCGCCTCCCGCGTAGACCCCAAAACAATTGATTCCTCACAGGGAGCCCTAGAAGTCATCCATGAAGAAAACATCTCTGCGAGCCCCTTGAGTCTGCAAAAGTCCAGCACCGGTTATGCCCCAGGCCTTTGACGTGGCTACTCAGGCACGCTGGCTAACACTGACACCCACTGCTTCGAAAACACGATTTAGCGGGTCGTGCAGGGATCATGATTGTATTTTTGTTTCCGGTTCTGCGGGAAAAAGCAAGCGGAGAATGCTGCGTAGCATGAGTTAAGGCACGCGAGATAGCTCAAAGACAAAGAGACAGAGGACAGAGAGAGCGAGAGAGGCAGACAGGCAGACCAAGTATGCAGCAATTAGTGTTCCCCTTGCAGGGTACTCTGGCCTCAAGCGACATACACGCGAGAGATCCATAGGACTCACGGAAGCAGAGCGCTGTGAGCCGCTGGAAGGATGCATTCTGGGCCCAAAGATCTGAGCCTTTGCTGCTATCTTCATGACCTCAACCCTGAACACCGAACACACATCCTAAACAGCAATCCTGAAAACCTCAAGCCTTAGTCGTTCGAGCCCGGCGCCCGGTCGTGACCTGAAGCCCGGAAGCCCACATCATAAGTCCTAATTCTAAAGATTCCAGAAAGGGCCCCTAGTAGGTGGAAACCCAATTCCCTATGAACTGCAATAGACTCCTGGAAGGGATGGTGATACACGGTCGGACTGCCGTGGAATCATTATTTCGCAGGTTTTTAGGGGCTGGTGTACGGAGCCCTCACACCATCATGCACTCATGCGCGGGTCGTTCTCCACCCTCTGACACCCTGAACTCCCAAACCCTGATCCCTAAACGCAAACATTGCCAGCCTCCTCGCAGGTGGCCCGGAATTCTCCGCCGATCGACACTCTTGGCTACATGTGCCGCTAGCCTGCTACAGACTTGGGGTTTAATTGGTTGAATGTACTAATAGTGGAGAATCAAACACAAATCAGAATGGAAAAGAAACTGGGAGCCTATGGTGGTTCATGTCGAATTGGGTTTCCACCTATGAGGGTGGTCCCCTCCTGGGAGTCTCTAGAAGAGGGAGGCATAATTGGGTTTGCTTTCTATGCAAGTTGACAGGTGGCTACGGATGGAGCAGAATTATGGTGATAATTTGAAGCCCCAATACAATCTGGACTGTTCTCAAAATTCTGGGTCCCTTTTGGTTATAGATTATATTACGGCACCTAACACTTAGGGGTACCAAAATGGGACCCTAATTTTGGGAGCTACCCATATCCATGGTGCTTCAACTTTGCAGTGCCTAAGCGAGCCACTTGTCTTACTGGTGGTTAGTAGGAAATATGAAAATGGAATTCTTGTGTAATAACTTCCCTTCTTCCCGACTAACCTTGTTCTTAAAAGCAAACCTGTCTGGATGTTTGCTGTTGGACTTGGTAGGCTTGGGGCCCAAGATTTTTTTAGCTAGCTGCTTGGGTCACTGGAAGTAAGACTATAGCTCAAATGGATGAAATGGATGTGCGTGGGTGATATACTAGGAATTTCGGCGAAAAGGCATGATCCAGAACACATGAGGACCCTCCAAAAGGGAGAACATGCCTCAAATGCTTCTAGGTTTTAGCGGCTTTTGTTTCTTAGGTTGAGCGTTTGAGTGCGCAGGCTAGGTTGATGATGCCAGGAAGATGTTGAACCAGATGCCGAATGACTGAAGTAGGCACTTGCTTAGCCCAGCAACTTGTAGGTTATACCGTAAACATGCAACCTCAGCATCCTGTTTGATTCCAACTAGTTAAGCGTTCTACCGGCTTCAGGAAATCTTGATCCTCTAGGCATCTATCGTCCCAGAAAGTCTGCATCAGATGATACAGTTCTAAGGAGTGTTCACTTCATCATCTACTGCCATAAAGCGAATCTGGAATCCTCATAGGTTTCCTTTCAAAGGACAGTACTCTTTGTACGCCTCCTTGTGGGCGTCCATGTCCGCTTTTGTTGGGGAATTGGCCCTCTCTACTGGGAAGACCTAATTATGGTCAGTGCTTAAACCGGTTAAGCCGCCTACCTTGTAGTTTCCAAAAACAAGGGTCCCCCAATATACTGACTAGAGTCCTTGTTAGAGGTACTCACGCGCACGAACCCCTAATTTAGAGAAACCTCCATATCATCCCACACGAAGCAATGTAACCTCTGCGAATTGGAACTCCAGGTGCATGCTAGATGGTCTCCTTATCTTTTCCGACAGAATCCTTAGATCCCCTACCCATGGACCTCTAGGTAAATGATTCTGCTTCTTGGACCTCTACGCCCCAAGCCTTGAAGCCTTAACCCCTAAAACCCTAAACCCTACATCCCCAAGCCCTCAAACCTAAACCCTGGGCCCTCAAACCTAAACGCTCAACCCTTTGTAACCCCTTAGCCCTAAACCCTGAAACAAGTGTTGCAATTCCGCACAAGGCCTGGGAGCCCGAAAGCGAGGCATGGGTTCCACTTTTCAAGGATTTTCGGTTCAGGGGAATTGGATTTTTTGGCGGGATCAGGTTTGTAGATTAAAATCGGGTTTAGGGATTAAGGGTTAGGGCTCGGGGATTAGTAGTTTTTTTGGGGCGCTGATGGTTTGTTGAAACGCGTGGATTAGGCCAACTTGTAACCTCAGCATCACAAGTATTTCCACCTTTCTGCTGCAGTCAGCCTCAAGTAGATAGGACAGGAATCTATTGCATGCCGTTGCTTAGCTAGCGCGTTGCAGCGATGCATTCCAGAAGCTTTGA